TGCGATTATATGGAAACAACTCTCTTTGCGATCGTCTGCGATCTGCGATTTGCGATCCGCGATCGTCTGCGATCGTCTGCGATCATATGGAAACCAGCCATTAGAGCCGTCGCGCCCTAAATCTCAAAGTCCCTATTATAGTGTTGGAGGCGCGGTGGCCTTATGGTCAGTGCGCTCGTCTCCGGGCTGAGCGGTCCGGGTTCGAGTCCTCGCCTAGGAGATTTTGCTGTGTTCTTGGGCAAGACAGTTTACTCTCACAGTACCTTTCTCCACCCAGGTGTATAAGTGGGTATCAGCTAATTTAATGCTGGGGGTAACCCTGCCATTGAATAGCATCTCATCCAGGGGGGAGTATAAATATTCCTAGTCGCTTCATGCTACAGAAACAGGAGATAAGCGCCGGCCTGATGGGTCACTTGGCTCGTATGCAGACTTTACCTTAACCTTACTGTAGTATAGCACGATTCCGAAAGCTCATGAAATCACAATCTGTTACCGGTCTTGCTAGAACGTGCCTCACTTCTATGTTACCCTACATATATCTAGCCTGAGCTTTGGAGTTATAACCATGAAAAGGGCTATATAAGACCACTTAAGACCTGTGACATGACCAGCAGTAACTTTCTACTTTTGAGAGAGGACTAAATTACCGCAAGGGTTCGCTTGTCGCGTGTACTGTTAGGTGCTCAGTTTCAGTTATTCTATTAGCAGGTGGCGGTTTTGTTTGAGGTCGTAATTTCAGGAGACAGTTTCACCCACATGAAGTACTCATTCTGGTGGCACGGCGCAACGGGGGACAACGTCATAGATCTGCCTACTGCACCTTCTTACATCACCGTTCGATCAGACATCCTTTTCAATTTACAAAACGTGTGTGTATTCATTCCACATAAGAAAAATTTTACGTTTTGATTTGAACCCTCTAATTACGATTAGTTCTATTCGCCTTCTCTACCTGCTGATGTGTAACGCGTGATGAAACCTTTGTTTTGGATTTGGCTGGTTACTCGCGTGGTTTCGACCACAGCAGGTAAGCTTTGTTTTCACTCTATTTTGCGTTCAAGTGTATCATGTAAAAAACTTAGATTGAGTAATAAAAGAAAAAACAAAAATAACCTTTTTCATAAGTTCCCATGATATTTGGCCCAGGAGACTCACACTGGGCAGCTATTAACGCATATTTATACGTTTCTGTTAGTTGTATTTCACGTAACCGTGAGGCGCTAAACCTTACGATGAATTACTGATGCAGAACAGGCGAGACATGTCAACAAATTAAATAATTTTAAAGTCTAAACCGGTCACACGGAAAGCACATGTTTACTACTTGTATTGTTTTTTGTCTGATTGGCGCTTCATTAGTTTCTAGGCTCGGCGAAAATAAGGGCGAGAAAGACGTGGTGGACAACTGGCAACGTTATTCAAAGTTTTCGAAGATTAAGATATTAATATCCTAGACCTAAAAATTACTTTCCTCTTGGGTTATTGGAACAGCTCTATATTAAATTTCACATAATACGGATGGGTAGTTAAAGGTGAATTTTAAGGTGAATCAGCTCAGAGCGACCTGTGATGAGTTTGTAGTAACACGGGGAAAGAGTCGCATCGTATCATAGAACAGAAGAGAATGTCAGAACTCGTGAGCCATCACCATCAAGCCATGAAACCTGAGTAGCAGACATAGAACTAGGGAGAAATGTGGGCTAAAGAGCAAAACCGACTCTATTTCAGCTCACTATCTCCTGTTTTCGGCCCATCACCCCAAGGGGGCCATGGTAAAAAGTGATCACCTTTTTCAGATCAAAATCCAACTTTAACCTTAAGGGGTTATTCAAAGACTGAAGGACTCTACCCGCCAGATAAATGAGGTAAATCAGTTTGTAGCGTAAAAATGGTAATCAGTTATCCACAAGTTGAGAAGATTTTTATTAGTGAATACAGCCCTAATCATCCTTGGACTCGGTCGCGGTCCCTGGGTAGACATGAAGTATTCTGACCCACAAGGGTGAAAAAGAGTCCATAGCAATTAACCTAGCTGGTAACCAAGAAACGCTTGTTTTGTGATGCAGCGCAATAACCATTAGGACACCTCTTTTTCCGCTGATCATGAGGGAGACAGCACAGATCATTCAGACCTAAATGCATTAGTCTCTCAGCTGGTCACAATGCATAAATTTGCTCCAGTCTCCTAGAAAAGACCAAACACCTCATCACTTTATAGTACTGTTATGTACCTTTAAAATTTTTTCCCATTACTCGTGCTCATAAAATGCAAGCCGTTTTGTCTTGGTCGCCAAGAGGGGTCATTATCCTAGGCATTCCTAGCGCAGAGAGTGGAAACTGGGGATGAGATTGCGTATCGTGTGCTCGCTCTCCGTGAAAAACGTAATATACAGAATGCTGTGTTTTGTGAAGGAAGTTTTGTAAAGAATCACGCCTTGTACGTTCATCTCACATACAAAGATGTCGATTGTTTTCGGAAAGGGTCGGTCTACGAATTGTATTGCTTCAAAGCCTGCCAAATAAGCAAAGTTCATGCTCATTCTCACAAGATAACAAATAAACTGTGTGCGAGTTCAAACCACGAAAACACTGACAAAAACTATGGCTATTGAGTTAAGAACAGCTATGATGCTGACACATGCTCAGATGTTGAAAAAAGTAAGAATCGCCCTAAACTTCGAAGATGACACAAACAAGATGCAACTGGATAAAGAGGATACTTAACGAAGCAACTTGAATAGTGAAAAATCTAAGCGTAACTCTTGTGTTTAAATATTCTGATTCTTTTATTTGTTTTTATTGTGTTCAATAAGCTTGTAAAGTAAGATTTGATATTGCGGTACGAAGCCCGAGTAAACGCTCCCAGAGGGTCTAGCTATTAATTCAAGATGTAGACCATGAACGTTTCATCAGAAGAGATAAAGAGGAATTTAGTCGCCACGTTTAATTAAGGCCGTAATGTGACTAGCTATTGAAGACATGCTCAAAACAATGAGAACACTAAATGCTTCACCCTCCCAAGATACTTAAGAGTCCTCCAGGAACTGTGACCACATAAGTGAGGGGGGTGCTAAACCCCTTTCAACCATTCAACCTGATGACGAAGTACTTTTCAAAACTATTTATTATTTAATTTTACAAATTTTAAGATCTTTGGCATTAAAGATGTCTAAAATTCAAATATTTTCTTCTTCAGAGCGAAGAAGTGTTGTGGCTCCTCAATCTGTTGTGAATCCCAAGGAAACAAGGACACAGACCATAAACACAGCTCCAAGTAAGCAAAACTAAATTCTAGTGTTAAACTTTCATCTTTTCACTATTCAAGCCATAGTGGCACAAAATAATGAAAGGCTTGTTTTCACAAGCTCCTAAGGATAAACATCAGCATGAGTATGAGTATGAACATGAGGGTATACACAAGAGGGCGGCGAGGAATAAATGGGGTTCTCGATCGTGATACACTCACAGTGTCCTCGTCAAAGAACGTGTATTCTTGGGGAGGACAATACACACAGCACTCGACGATGGTTGAACAATATGGTGGATTTTATCAATTTTTTGTGATATTTCGTAGAAGGGCGAGTCAAAGTGAATTATGATCGGTTGACTGCCTTGTATTTGTGCTTGTGATGTCACCTGCATTCTCTGCCACTGCATTATAAGCAAAGAAGAACGAGACATGTTCCTTTTGCTTATGCATATGTTCTGGCGTCCTCACTTCCTTGCGCGTTTGCTGTTTCGTTTTTTTGTTGTGTAACTTCTGTTGATATACTTTCAAAAAAGCCGAGGCAAAGGATTGAAAAAATGCTTTCCGGTATAAGCATGCAGTGGAAGATAGATTGATGTGTGGCTTATCCAGCATTCATCTTTGTATTATGTATTTCAGTTACCATCCACGTCCCATTCCTCAAGAGTTCTGGCACACGCCAACAACCAGCTGCTCCAGCGGCTATTGCCCAAGAAGCACCCGAGGGTACATACTTGTTTCCTGTCACAGAACAAAATAAAGAGCAGCCTCCAACAGTCAACTTGGTGCTCAATCTAAGGCTGGTTATGGACGGAGGTAACAACCTAACAAATTAAACGCTTATATTCTATAAAGAGGCGCCTAGGTGGCCGAGTGGCACTGGGATCGTTTAGGAAGCTGGACTAGTAATTAGGAGGTTGGCTGGCTTTATTCCTTCATTCTGAGTTATCCTGCTGAGAGAGGATTTGTTTTCGATAATCCCGAGTTCAACCCCTCAGCTACGCGCTATAAATAGCCAACATGTTCTGCCTCCACATTTTAAACAAATTCTGTCATTTGGAATACTTGTTTGCTTATTAAGTTACAGCGTCTACTAGCTAAATATCATAACAAACCATGCACTTTTTTTTTAAGAAAAGAAAGCCGGGCAGTCAGAATTTGTTGTCAATGAACCAACGTCTGCACCAGCAGTTAGAGCGAATTCTGGAGAGTATGTCGCCCATGAGGTAAAGATCGTAACCCCAAACACAAATCTCAACCCCAGTCCGACTCCAGCGTCATCCATCGGTTTACAGGGAGAAATCAATCAAGGCGATGTCCCGGCATTGTCCACCACACAAGGGAATAACCCGAATGCTCCTCAACAGCCCGCCAAAAACTTCGGCGTTGTTCCTTCTTTTCTTCTTGTCCCCAAAAGACGGGTGTTGCACAACGTACGATCAAATATGAAAGCAGTTGTACCAGGTAAGTTGACACTTGTCAACCATCCTTCGGCTTGTCATCCATCCTACAAGAAATTATAATCTTGCTCTGATAAGCGGCGACACAACAAAATAAAGAGGAGTTGATCTTGGGAAAGTAGGCTGTTTGTTCTGAAAATGGAGAAAACGGTTCAAGAACCTTCGCTCAGGTGAAATTGTGGAGTGTTGAATTATGGTTTAACGTATGACTGAACAAAAAAAAAATCCAAACTTTCAGATGTGTATTTCACGTACCAATTTCGAGTTGTTCTAGCAATACAAATATCTCTCAGCAAGCTGCTATGATCCAAATAAGATGATACAGAAAGACGCGGCAGTGAAACCATGCATGTACAAACTTGCAAACTTCACCTGCCCACGAGGCGGCCCAAAACCTTGTTGTAATGATCAATTTCAGTGACCAAGGATAAATTGCCAAGAGTTAACTGACCAGTAACATCATGCATCATAACTAGGCGCGACATTTAGTTAGTTTTGTCCTGGGGTGGATTACATGTCTGTCTATTTCACTAAATGCCGGTAATATATACGAGATACAATTCCTTGGAATGCATGTGTTAGCCTGCGTGAGGCACGCGGCTACCTTTAATTTTGTCAACTAATTTGACAGCAAGGAAACGAAAGGTGTACTTGTGTCATCACAGATGAACACAGAGTTTGAATTTCAATAGACTGAAGATTTTTAAGGATGTTTTATTGTGTCAACGAGGGTTACCAATGGCCAGGTTCAGGCAGCAATTTCTTTTTGAGCACAACAAGAAGCGCCTTCTTCACGGAGTATCACCGCTGATGCAGGATCAGAGGTTAAACGCCGACGCTCAGAGATTGGCTATAGAATTAGCACAGCAGAGAAATACAACGCATTCTGTTCTGCGAAAGAGAGTAGGACGGGGAGAAAATATCGCACTTCGCTGCTCGTTTAAAGGTAAAATCTTGTCCTTACTTTTGATTACTTTACAAGGGAGAGCCTTATTAACAAAATTAGGATTATTAATAGACAGACAACGGTCCAGTTGTTCGAAGGCTGTACAACGCTCTCCATCGGATAAATTACTATACAGCGGATAGCGTGGTTTGTTTTGTTAACACTTATCCACTAAATAACGATTTATCCGGTGGATAGCGTTTTCCAGCCTTCAAAGAACTGGGCCAAGATTTATGAAGACGGTAGTTAAAAATATTCAGTGGTAAAATAGCTGGGATACAGTAATTTCGTTCCTTCTAGATACTTAGGAGTGCTCTTGACAGGTCGTCGAACAAATTTGAAGATAGGAAGTATGACTGAAAAGATTTTTCGAGATTTTCTATGGTCGGCAATATTTTGACAAGAAAAAGTTCTTGGAGAGTTAGTTTCAAAATCTTTTCGGAAGTGGAAAATTTCAGTGCCACCTTAAATTTTCGAATATTTTAGGTTGGTAACCCGAAACACTCAAAGCTATTCAGACCGGCCAGAGTAGATGATTACATCGATAAAATGCGAATCTTTCTCTGTTATTCATGCAGGTTCTCCTCTTACCGGCGCTCGAGCCACGAATCTATGGTACGATGAGAATACAAAGTTTGATTGGAAGAACAAATCATTCAGTCCAGAGACAGAAAGGTTTACTCAGCTAGTTTGGAAGAATACCACGAAAGTTGGTTTTGGCAGATCCCAGTTTACCGACAGAAGTAAGTTATCATAGAGTTATTTTCCTTTCAACTGACGTTTTAGGGAGTGTCTTGGAAAAAGAACACAACGTGAAGCTTAAGACTATGCCTGTCTTCCAAAGGGAAGGAAATGGGCCACTGCAGCTGCGTAACCTTATTGGAGTGCAGTTAACAAAACTCTGCAAATCGCAAATTTGCTTTACAAGCAATTTCTCTATCTACTAGCGAAGGATATCAAAACAAGTACAATAAGAAATTTAGAGCTACCGGCTACCGAATTTGGCCAGAAATCAGGATTGAGTATGGATCAGTAACTTAAGATTTCACAAAGACAACACTGTAAGACAGCAGACAAGGATTCCGATTGATTAATTGCAATTTGGGTACGGTAATTGATGCAACTGCCCTTCTATGCTTTGATCTATCCATTTTTCAGTTTGGTGTAGCATGCATCTAATATTTGCATATAAAGCTTGGTTTTCACAACGACATAAGCGCCAGCACAAGCATTAGCATAGTGGTAATAAGGATGACCACAGCACAACCACACGGTAGTGGGAACGCCACAACACAAGCACAAGCGCAAGCACAGGCACAAGCACAAGCACAACAAAAGATTTGGTTCTTCTTGCGCTTGTACTTATGCTTATGTCAAGTGAAGCCGCCATCTTGTTGTACTGTATCGTGGAGTTATGGAACCGGAAAGAAGGCAATTATCCATTCTACGCATGCCTTGTTATTCTTGTGTTGTGGCGTCCTGTATACCGTCATACTTAAGCTTGTGCTTCTACTTATGTCGTAATGAAAAATGGTTTTTTGCTTGCTTTACAGACGGACGAATCTGTTTTGTAGTTGTGGCTCGTTACGAACCAGCGGCGAAAATCGGAGAAAAAATTTTGGACAACGTGCTTGAACCCATTAAAGCTAACCGGAAAACCACTAGTATTAATTAAAAAATTAGGATGGTACACTATGTTGGATGGTTTCACACAACTTGGATTCGGTATGAAAAGTAATAAAGTTTGTATGATATTATTCGTGTAGTACTCTTGATGATATTCTTACATCTGTCCATAACCATAACTGCTGAGCAACAAACGACTTGTTGTAAACAAAACGACTGATAGATTGCTTCTTTAGTAAACCGTACCTAAATTACTGCACGCTTCACTCGACAGCCTGATGAAAGCAAGCCAGAAATCCCTTAACTTGGCCCGTAATACACATATGCACGGGCCCAAACTTTTGCGAGGTTAATTCAGTACTGTTCTAGAGCGATTAAAATGTTCTAGAATGGTTAAGAAACACCACATAGTGAATTTATGACGTGAAATGTAGACATCAACCTTAGCTAATGCTGTTATACCACACAGATTTACCCGCTCCCATTGAAAATCCAAAGTTTATTGTAACTTCGAAATTTCAAAATCTGTATTTTATAAAACGGTCTCTTCGATTCCTAAAAAGTTCTCTCTTAGTTCGGCCTAATTGTTTTATGCTATATATGGATATTACCACCGTGCTATGAAGAGAGATAACAAGAAATCCAGAATTAATAATGAAAAAAANAAAAAAAAAAAAAAAAAAAAAAAATGAGGCCAGTATCTATCCATCTTGACCGAGCAAGCTTGATCTGTAAAGGACTTACTACATGGCATCCAAGACACCATTTTCTTGCGGGATCCATCGGGTAATCCCGAGCGGTCATGATCATGAGCCCCATTTTGCTCTCACGGGTAGCCAATGAAACCGCAGGATTTGGTTTGTGTTGTTTGTTCGATGAGCTTGCCGTATATCAAGGGGCACATATAGACGCAAACCTACTATTAAAACTTAACAATTTCTTTTTTATAAATTCACCATTCACCACATGAGACCGTTTAACTCTGAAAAAGTACTAAACGGTGTTATATTTACTTACCTATCTATATATTTATCATTCGAATGAAACAGCTATTATGCGTTGACCAAATGAACTTGATTAAAATTGTAAATTTTTTGCACCCGTTAAGAAAGACCGCCGACAAATTGTTTGCAGTAAATGCGTTGGATATCATTAGCGGTGATTAGATACTTAATCTCTTGTACTAAAGATTTCTTTCGGAACATTTGAGCTTTTGTAGGTGTTACATGTGTAATAACACCTCAAGGAGCTAAATCGACCAAAAACAACTGAAAATAATCTCACAAGGGTTACATTCGGGAGATCCGGGTTTAACTCTCATCCTCAGATAACACAATTACACCCTTCTGGTTGGCTCACTTAATCTTGGTTACCAGCCACTACACCTGCGTTTGACGTTATATGGAAAATTAGGGCGTCAAGTGTCTCTTTCGCTTAGTTTTGTCGCACAATTTTCACCAAAGCTATTCTTTCGGATTTTCTCATTAGCCTCCCTTTTGTAACTGAATATATAGGTAGATGACTTTGGAGGAGATTTTGCGTGTAATATTTCGGAAGGAAAATCTGTCTCGCTCGCTTTCCTGACACATTTCATTCAATTCAAGAATTGAACAAAGCGCGGCACATTTTCGCGCCTTTTCATACCATCACTTCGTTTAGATCATACTGAAATGTCCATGTTATCAAGTCGCCTAAACAATTTATTTAGTGCAACAAATTTCCCATCCGCCGTTGATTATAACAAACTCGGCACTGCGCTCTTATTTCGTTATTTATCACCTCGTACGGCTTCATGGCTTTATACGGCTTTATTTATCACCTCGAATCTAACATGGCTTCATGGAATAATTGTTAATTGTACTTTCGAAAAACAGCACGAGTCTTCTCGAAAATTCTTCTTCGAAATTCTAACAACTACATTTTCTCCGTGGTATTGAAATGCGATCAGGAAGCATTTCCTCTGAAATCTTCTCATAGCGATTTCGAAAAAAATCTTCAACACAGTGTTTTCTTGCAGACAATCAACCAATGATTATGATCTCAAACCCTTTGTTTCTTCTTGCGTCAGTGCATGATAATTCAATTTTTTTTTCACGAAAGATTATTTGAAGTGGAACCATTTACTTCTTTACTGAAGAAACCCTTTTGCGCTGCCACTAAATTGTCTCAATGCCATCTGAGAGATAAGTATTTTAGAGTGGTTCTGACAACTTAAAGATCTTAATTTTCGGCCGTTAAAACTTCTTGCTCTACTTTATCTTTGCAGTTGGAATAGAAATATTGATTTGCCAATAATCTGATTGAACATGGTTTGAGTTTTGATATTTACGCAACTTTATTTGCTTGTCGACGCTACGACTTTATGATTGTTTACAAGATAACATTAGCAGCCGGTTTCATTGAGGATATATGCAAAATATCGACAGATCCCTAGAAAATAATTTTGCCGCATCTTAAACTAGAACGTTCGGCGCTGACGTGGAAAAGAAAAACGTTCGCTCTTTCCTTTTTTCATGCGATGATGTGGGATTTCATGCGATTTCAAAGATTTTAAACAAGTCGACAAACTTAACACCCTTTTTTTAGCCGATAGAGAAAATGTCTCAATTAAGCTTAAGGCTTAACGAAGATGTAAAACGAGAGAAACGCAACATGAGAAAAACGTCTAGAAAAGGAAACAAAAAGGGGCTCATCGCGCGCACAAAATTTTCCGCACATTATTGCCCGTTTTAATAAAAGCTGAAAAAAACTTTTCATTGAAACCGCTTTTAAACGACGCTTAATGACAATATGCAAAACTCTCAAGATAACATATTGCTAAGATATTGTCTTTTCTAGACATCAAGACGTAACCTTTGGCACACTGTGCGAAAAAAAAAAAATAAATAAAAAAAAAATAAAGCCATCTCGTGGAGAATCTTTACACTGTCTACTTTAACACATATATTTTCTCAATAGCCAGTTGGTTAAGAAAATAGTTGCTTACAAATTGTTTGAAATCGGTGGTCAATTAACATTAACGACATTTTTCGGCAGTGACCATTGTAGAAATCACAATGAGTCGAGTAGAGATGAGGACTTTTTTCTTATTCAATGCCGCGCAATGACCCTTCAGTATCGGTAAATGAAAAGCACTTTAAAAACGTTTTCAATGCAACTATTCTACTTTCTTTCTATTCATGAAGAAGAATAAGTATACCACACAGCTCCACCTGCCGTTATACACCCAAATCGCATTTTACTGTTTAATCCAACCATGTTTAATTTTCGCTTTGGTGTCAAAAACGTCCATCAAACATGTACGAAAACAAACGCTTTCTTTAAAATTAATTTTCTTTCTGCTCCGTTTGTAATAAAACAATATGAAAATTCACTGCAATTTTTGACGTATAAGCGACAGATTCTGGTAAAAAATTGATCCTTTGCAGTCGAAAATTGTAATCGCAATTCACATCACCAGTTTCCTTTTTTGTTTTCATTTGAGCGAAAGACGTGCAGGTGTCTTGACGAGGATTAGAGAGATTACTAGTTGGGTCAGAATGAAAAAAAGCAGTCATCATGCTTTGATGATGAGCATTCAATCGGTAGGCTTGATAGATCTTTAGCGACCCTGAATGTAAGTACGCTTTCACCGAGAAAAGGAGTCCTCGAGCGAAGGAAGGTTTTAACCGTCATTTCGGCAACTATAAACACGCTCATTGCAAAAAGTACACAAAGCTTGTATACTCATCAATCAATTGTAGGACAAGGAGACAGGTTTTTTTAAACTCTCAACGCTATGGAAAACGACATTTGCTTCAGTATTACTGGGCTGACAAACCGCCCAATTTTAAATTGGTGAACCTAGATTCACTAACATAAAAACGCAAGGAATCGAACGCCGGTTTACGTGTAAAGAAACCTGCTGTTATTAACGATAAGTTTGCGTTTTATGAGGAGAGGGCGCTGATACGAATTGATAAAATTTCATCGAAGAAAAGGGACACAGTCAGATCTGCGCTATGGCTCACCGCGACAATTTTACACTTGGCGGCAATATCTCAGCCTCGACCAACGCCTCAGCCAACATCTCAACTGCTGCGGAGCCCGTGACTGTGAAAGTACTGAAAACATTCTGCTACTGTGTTATAATGTTGATGTCTCTGATTGGAAACACTTTGGTCATTACTATCATATACCGAAACAAGAGAATGCGGACCACTACCAACAAGCTGATCGCCAATATGGCAATAAGTGACCTTCTCTTTCCGCTCTTTGCCGTCCCAAGAGAGACTGCGCAAATTTTGATCGGCAAGAGCAGATGGCTGGTCGGAGGTGTCGGTGGAGAAATCTTATGTAAGATCGTCAATTTTTCACAAGACATCTCGACTGCGGTGTCCATCCTGAGCTTGGTCGTCATTGCCTTTGACCGATTTTACGCGGTAAAATTTCCTTTTAAACCCGCAATTATCACGCCAAAAATGTGCCGCATCATTATTGTATTCATCTGGATTGTGGCCATTGGAATACATTCTCCGTACTTTTACACTTTCCGATTAAAAACAGTACAAAACGATCTATTTTGCGTGAACGAGTGGGAACCGGCTTTCGACAGTATTCCTACTCAAAAGGTTTACTTTTTGATTATATTCGTGGTGCTAATCTCATTTCCCATTGCGGTAATAACGATACTGTACACCGCTATTGCCATTGAAGTTTGGAAGCAAAAGGGGCCCGCCGAGCGCTCTTGCCAAGAGCGACAAAGGCGTGAATATGAAAACAGAAAAGTGTTGAAACAGGTCGTGACGGTTGTTGTCGTGTTCGTCTCATGCATCACGCCCATTACGATATTTGGCTGCCTTGTACACTTCGTTTGGAATTTAAAATTGCCGCCTGAAGTAGACGGGCTTAACTTCAGATTCAGTGCACTATTTATCATGCACTCTAATGCGGCGATTAGCCCTTGTATATATTTCATTTTTAACAAGAATTATCGAAAAGACTTCATAGAAATAGTCCAAAGCTACACTCGGATGTTTAGCGGCGTCAAACCGAGCGCTTCTGACCAGTCAAAACTCGAATCCAGGGTTGTACATGCTACAAAACAAAGTACACCTCGATGTCAATATATTTAAACCCAATACACTTATAGCCATGTATGAGATAAAAGCGAAAAGTCTTATTAGCGGCTTCAAACTTGAAATCCGCTTTTAGTAAGGTTATCAATCCGTAATCAGCCGAAAGTTAAAAAAATAATAGCTTAGGCAGTAACAACCTTTATTTCAGAATTTGTCACTATAGAGATGGGACAACAATTCGTGTATGGTGCCCAAAAGTCTGGTCACTCAATTAAAGCTGATTGAAACTGAGCCAATGTCACTGTGAGGTTTTTAAGTTTTTATTGCATTAAATGAAAATGTTAAGAACATTCATGACCCTAATTTTGCGAAATTCCCATAGCTTAATGTAGCGTTCTACGTCATATCAGGGTCACTTGCACCATAATATTCGTTTTATTACAATACAAATACTTATTGCTCTCCACATCATTACCTTAACGACTCCAGCTAGGACTGTGTCTCCATTCTTAAACAATTAGATTATGCGTTCGAGCCTGGTGACTTAACTGGCTTCTAATCCATGCCTGCTAGCTATTGATTCACTGAAAAACTCCATAAGGTATACACTTAAGTTATGACACATATAACTTAAGTGAAAAGAATTAGGTGAGTGAACTTTGGACAAAAACGGAAAATGATAAAACCCTTTATTAAAAAAGCGCAAACGTAGTAGTAGTAGTAATAATAATAATAATAATAATAATAATAATAATAATAACAATAATGGTAATAATAATAAAAATAATAATAATAATAATGGTAATGGTAATAAACTCTCTCTTGGCCCAATTCATTTAATATAACATATACAATCACTCTATCTTTTCCGAGTATCGCAAGGACAATTGTTTTACTTGCCTTTTACTTGCCTTTGCCTTTTTTTTTACTCAGATTACCATCTGAATAAAAAATCTTAGCTTTAAAGTTGAAAGCATTTTTACAATCTATCTCCTTCCCAGAGCCCGCGCTTACTGTAGCCTCATTATTGCGGGCTGTAGAACAGCCTACCGGCAAATGTACATCAGTTTTAATGAAACTGTTTTCATTGCCAATAGTACGAACAAATTGACATTCTGTTTCTTTGAGCAAAAATATATCAAAATGATATTCATGCTAATTAGCGTTAAAACATCGTATACTACGATGAACCTTTCTTGCCATTTCTTTGGTGTTCCCGATTTTAATCCAGCAAATCACTTTACAGTTCTATCTTAAATCGCTAAAAGATTTAGTTTTTTTCGTTTAAGAATGAACAATGGAAATTCTTAATTGAACTGTACGCTTAACAGACAACACAGTGCCAGGTTTGTTAGCCCAGGCGAGGAGACGGTTGCCGAGACGATCAACAGCTATATTCGTGTAATCTGATATCGTCAGTGTTCGAGAGTGAATATTCGATCATTTTCTCGTTCATTGAGACGAAACGAGTGAAATGCAGTTTACGGGTGATTTTGCGGGAGAAAGTATCTTGAAAACTGTTTAAAACACAAGAAATAAGATGGAATATGGCTATATAATTCTCTTTTTGTTATCATTATTAAACATGCCTTTTAAAGAACTGAATTTTTGAAAATTGTTCGTTTTATCCTATCGCTTGAATTACTCTTTAATCTCTTATCCTATTAAAAAAACGCCCCGGATTTCACTATTTCTTTTATTTTTCTTCAATTGAATGGCACCAAAACCGCGTTTACAGTCTGCTACCTGCGTTTACTGCTAATTTTTTCCCTCTGAATTAGTTAACTCGCTGCAAAAAAAATCCAGCAAATAAACTTCTTAGACCATAAAGAAGAAGGCTACAAGAAGGCTAACCCTGGTGCTAGGGTTACCATCAAAACAAACGAATCGTGACTTCAAAAGACATCGTGTTAATTCAAGTTTTGTTTTAGTTTTGCCTTGGATAGAAAAAAAAAAAAAAAATTCGAATAACGGCTTTAGGCCACGAAATTTCCGCAATAATGTTTGTCGCTACTGCGGCTAAAATATTCTAGTTACAAATGAGTTTTCCCGTCAAATTCATCCCAAACTAGAGAAAATAAGTAAACTGTCTGGGATTTTAATTACTGGAGATTAGAAATTGAAACGATTTCAGAGGAACGAATAAACCACACAATTCAAGTGAAAATACATTTTGGCGATAAAATTATTATCGATTGCATGGCGTGTTTTATTCACCAGGTTAGCTAAAGCGTTATCGGCCATGGTTGTCGCGCGTAGTAGGGTAACCCCACCTGAAAAATTTGGCCTGTAAACGAGGGCTATCTTTGACCCTCTAGATCTTGGTAAGGTAACCCTTCTGTTATCTGTACATTATTTAAAAAGCGGAGGTCACATTGAATTGTGTTTTTACGTTTCTACTAACAAGGATGTTAAAAAAAAAATCTGGAAAAAAGAATTACGTCTAAAACAGGAGCCATTATGGCTCCTGGTCTAAGAGAAAAAAAATTGGCTTCTGATGCATGTCAAATTTCGTCGTCGAACGATGGAAAAATAATTAACGAATTAATATTTTTGTGTGGAGTTTTACTGAATATTTTTTTGCAAAATTCTG